CACAATTAAAAACTATACACAAGTAGGCTCGAAGGCAGTGTGAGTTGTTGTGATTGATAACTACCATGTTCTGTATCCTAAGGTTGTATTCCTTAGTCTTGCTTTTAATATCTAGGCTTGCCATAAGCCAGAAAGCCTAGAGACCAGCATTCACATAAGTTTTAGTGAGTGAACCAACTTTATTTTCCCTGCCAATACTTTAAGAAGTGATGTTAAATAAGGTCTATCAGCAGCAATGTCCTTTGTACTACTGCCTTTCCCTTTAGTGCAGCGGTTCTCAACCTGTGGGTTCCGACCCTTTCTCAGGGGTCGCCTGATTCATAACAGTAGCAAAATCACAATTATGAAGTAGCAATGAAAATAAGTTTATCGGGGGTGGGGGTGGGGGGGTGTCACCACAACATGAACTGAATTAAAGGGTCGTGGCATTAGAAAGGTTGAAAATCACTGCTCTATAGTGTTTAGGCAGACAAAAGTGAGTATTTGTGTGTGTGTGTGTGTATGTGTGTCAAGAATAGAGCACAGTAGGGATACATCTCATTTACCGACTCATTCAGTATCCAACAGTTCATATTTGCAGCGAGAGTAAAGCATGTATCTGGCTCTCTTGTGCATGTATGTCCTAATAGTAGTGCTGAGGAATGAGGCAAGAGCAACAGTGGCTGATGGCTAAGGGTTTGTGTCTACTGGCTAGGCCATGATTCCCAGAAGTTTGGCAGTTATATAATGATAGAATCTGACAGGTGTGTCGGGATGTCATCTTCCATTTTGTGTTCCAGTGTGAGCAGCCAATCAGTTAAAAAGGGTATTTCTTTGGGGGTGGGGCCTGCAGTTCAAAGGGATGGTATAGTAAGACTCCCTCATCCTCTCCATCCTGTCCCTGTGACTCATTGGTTGATCTCTGGTTCTTGGGATGGCAGTCATCAGGCAGCTTCCTCACCTGCAGATTTTTGCTCTGTTAGCCCCTGCAGCCATGAGAAACCTCCAGTCTTATGACTGACTCAAAGATTTGAAACTCGTTAGCCTCTACAACTGTGTGAGCTATTTTCTTGGGTTAGATTTTCCTAGAGAATGCAATGTGAGGTGTAGGAACACAACTTGAACGAAATGAACTGGCAGACAACACAGCTCATTGAGTCAGCCTGCCAGCCTCTCTACCTCCTTCAGTGTGTGTGATGAGCCATTACAATATAGTAAGTTACAGCCATTTCTGCTTGTATGTATATGTATATTAATGATTTATGTAGACCATTGGCTTCATACAGAAAGAACAGTCCTAGTTCAACTGAGGAGAAGCCCTGATAGCATAATGGGTTACACGTTGGGCTACCAACCACAAGGTCACCAGTTCAAAACTGCCAGCCTCTCTGTGGGAGAATAATGAGGCTTTCTGCTCATGGAAAGAGTTACACTTTTGACAAATAACAAATGTGGGTTAAGGGAGACAACAGACAGTATAAGACGGGTAGGAGGGTGGGGGGGGACAAGAGGAGCTTATACCAAGGGCCCAAGTTGAAAATGTTTTGGAAATGATGGTGGCAATATATTTGCCAATATGCTTGATAACAATTGATGTATGGAATGTTATAAGAGCCGTAAGAGCCCCCAATAAAATGATTAAAGAAAAAAAAAGAGAGTTACACTTTTGGAAACCCACAGGACCAGTTGTGTGACCTCCCTTATAGTGTCGCTATGAGTCAGAATCGACTCAGTGGCAGTGAGTGAGTTCAACTGATAGTGACAGCAAGAGGCTTAGGAACACCTTCAATGTTAAGGACTCCTGTGAAAGTGTAGGAATGGGGGAATAGACTGAAGAAGGCAGGGCACATTCTAATGGGCATTCCATTCCCAGGGATAAGGACCGAATCAGGGTGTGGTCCGAGTCCCCAGGAATGCATGCTGTGATAAGATAATGAAAGGGCCTACTCAGCAAAACTGCAGTGCTCCTCGTGCTTTGGGTTGAGGATCCAAATACAAGAAGACATGCAAACCGACCGTCTTACAATTTAAGCTAAAGCACACAGCACATTTTTGATTCTGCTATGGAAGGTACAGATCAGTACAATCACATGTTCACTGCCAGAGACAGCTCCATTACCACATCTAAAAGATGGAGCTGTCGGGGTTGGTGAAGAAGCTGCAAATGAAGTTGACAAATTCGGGTCCAAAAGGAATTGTTGGCCAAAAGAATTTATGTAGATGAGATCTGATTATATGGGAATAGATGCCCAAACAGACCTACACTCCTCAAAGCAATGCTTGAATTGAAGGTTTTTAAAGACAGAATGCTTGTTGTCCTTGTTACTCGGTAGAAATGTTGCCAGTGTCATGCCGAAGTCATTTGTGATTTATAAAGCAGATAATCCGTGTGCATTGAAGAAGATAACCAGTTATTGTTCATCTCTTATTGATGCCAGCTGCAGGCTTGGAGACTGCATACTCTCTTCTAGGACTGCTGTGGGGTACTTGCAATGACCCTTCTACAGGCAGTCCTCCCTTTGGGGGTATTATAAAGCCTTAGGCTCCACATCTGTGACTGTAGTTCCACTGTGCTGTGAGCTGTTTTCTATGCTGATGAGGTAGGATTGAGGGGATGACTCAACTCAGCACAGTTTCCTTAGTGGTATAGTCTCCGGTATGCCATATACCGGAGAGCAATAAAGCACCGCTCCAGTAAAGATGCCATCTTTATGACCTTTTCTCTACAACTGATCCTGTACCAAGATGGTGTGCTGAGTCACTAGTGACGACCACCAATCAGATACCAGTTACTGCCCCAAGAGCCTGCTGGCCCAGGACTTGGACATAAGTCCCTGTTGGCCTAGGACTTGGACATAAGTCCCAGCATGCTCCCAACCTGACCAAACAAGTAAGTGAGGCCCACTTTTCACTTTTGGAAGTTTCAATGTATTGTTCTGGATTCTGTGTCTCACCTGGTTCTGCCTGACCAGTGGTTTGGGGGACTATCGCCTGACCTGATCCATCAGCTTCTGCAGTCTGTACATGAGGAGCTGCCATCAGATGGACATCTGAACTTGTGGTTTGGGACAAAGGCTATGATGGTGGCGTTACTAGGTGCTGTCCAGTCGGTTCCGACTCGCTGTGTACAGCAGAACAAGACAGCAGAGAGCCTCATTTTTCTCCTACTGAGCAGCTGTGTGCTTGAACTATCAGCCTTGTGACTTTAATGTAGAGTGTGTGCAAAGGGGTTTGAAAAGGGATTTGGAACACTTCTCTTCATTTCTTAACAGCCTTTGAAGGTTATGACTCAGAAGAAAAACTGGTGGAACCACACACTCGAATTGGTTGCTAGCAGAATCCTTTGGTTTCGAGGTTGATGCAGGTGATGTGGATGATTTAGTAGGTTACAAATAGGGAGCTCTTTCAATTGAAGAATGGATTGAGCTACAAGAATTAGAAATACAAAGGAATGTGGAAAAGGAATGACAAACGTGCAGCATTGGAGTTAAAATGTTTACTTATAGCAAAATGTACGAAGAGAAAAACACTCTTCACACCAAACTCAATGGTTATTCCCAAAATGTTACTCACCATCAACTCTATAGTTTGTTTGTTTTTAACAGTTACAAACTCCATTTGGGATGGCAGACCCAAACTAGGAAATGTTTATAGTCAGACACTCTTGACCATCAAACAGCTAGCTGTAGCCTTATAGTCTGCCTCACAAACACTGGAAAATTGTCGCTTGAAGCTTTTAGATCTAATTAAGTATTTTGCCCTCTACTGTATTAGAAGGAACCCAGGTGGCCCTGTCTGGTAAACATTGGACTACTTGCCAGTTTAACCCCACCAGCTGCTCTAAAGAGCAACATGAGGCTGTCTGTACCTGTAAACACTTACAGCCTCAGAAGCCCTACGTGGGATCTCTATGAAGCAGTAGGTGTACTGTATTATAGTAAAATATTTTGTTTTACTTATATTTTTATACACAGCCAACATTGAGTACACCGAGTTGCTACTGAACCTTGAAATGTGCAACTTTAATTAAAGAGACAGTCAAAAATTGTAAAATTAAGACAATTTCATTTCAACCCATCCCTTACCCATTGAATGTGTGATAGGCTAAAGTCAACGTGCTTGCCCGTTACCCACTATTGACAAGTTGATTCCAATTGGCAGAGAGCCTATAGGACGGAATAGAAAGAACTCGCTAGCGTCTCCAAGGCGGTAAATCTTTGCGCAAGAAGATTGCCTCGTCTTCCCTCCAGAGTGGCTAGTGAATTCAGACCAACAACCTTTCCCTGGTAACCCAGTGCATAACTCGTTGTGCCACCAGGACTCCTTTAGTTATATCTCAGCTACTGTAAGCTTTACTTAACAGCCCAGACTTCCATCTTGATCAGTGTGAGGAGTGCCTTCGGGCAAAAATACAGCCCACTGCGACTTGTGGCAACAATGACTTTGCTAGGTCTTTACACATTTTATTTACTAAGTGTTTGTATAGTTCTTGTATGGCACTTTTTACGTGCCTCGCACTATGTAAACATTTAGCAGGTATTCATTCATTTAATATTCACTCATTTAGTGGTGAATCATTTATTTAAAGAGTATGGGGAAAAAAACATGGGTATGTATGTGGACATATATGTGTATGTATGTGTATATGCATGTATGTATGTACTTTCCCCCACCTCCACCTTTTCTATTTATTTTGTGAACCTTATTCTCACTGATTACTAGAGGTTGGGGAGTTTAGTCCTTGACTGGCAACCAACCCCTCTCTCATGGTAGTTCTGCTTTTAAAGTTTAAACATGTGAAAGGTTGACTTTTGAGATGGTAAGGGCTTGGACTGCGTAATGTTATAATTATGTTATAATTCTAAAACTTGCATATCCAGGAAAACAAAGCCTCTGAATAAATAAAGCCTAAACCTCTCCCATATCTTTTCCGTGTCACTCGGCAGCTTGTCTGTGGAAGTCTTAAAAAGTGTATTAGACAGTACTTAGAGGTCTGCACTCTCTCTCCTTGTCCATCCCAGCATGCTTGAAGATGACCTTCAGCTCAGTGACAGCGAGGACAGCGACAGCGAACACGTAAGTGTTGTGTGCCCCCCCGTAACACCACGAAGCCTTTAAAGTGAGCCTAACTTACCTGAGCTGCTCATTCTAACCTATTTGTTTTGTGTTTTTTTCCTGATCCTTCCTCCCTTATTTTGAATACCTAGGCCCCGGCGAAGCCTCCTTCCTCATCTGCACCTCCCAGGTACTCAGTGTGGATTTCTGTATAAAACATTTCCATTTTTCTACCAAGGGGAATGATGAAGCTATACCTAGCACTAACACTTCAGTAGCCTCCCTGCCACCCCCACCCCATGCCCCCATGGGAAAGGCAATGGAATGGCTTGTGTTGAGTGGATTCTGACTCACCGAGACCCCGTTTTGTGTTCCAGACTAGCACTGTGCATGGGGTTTTCAATGGCGGTGGCCTTCTGGTAATCCTTTCAAAGTACCTCCAAGTGGATTCAAACCATCAACCTTCAGTTAGTAGTTGAGTGCTCTCCCTTTGTACCACCCAGGGACTCCAGTTAAAGGAAAGTGCCTATTACCTTGATGGTTAGTTAAACTGGCCACAGAGATTTTTTTTAACCCTATAAAAGGGTAAGAGTCCTTCCACCTGCCTGTGTACATCCTCGGTGTTCAATCCTGTGATATTTAAGAAGATGTAAGAGGTTAAAAAAATACACGTAAAGTACTTTCTATTAACATTGTCTGTAAAACAACGGAAAGGCTAATCGAAGAGCCCGGTGTTGTTATGCAGGTGACAGATTTGGCAGGGCTTCATAATCTGTACAGTTGGGTTCTTTTTCAGAGAGCCTCCTTTTCTTAGGCATTTTCCAATTATTTCAGGTACCTTTTAAAAATGGCCTGGAGAGCGTTTTAGTGTGACAGATAATGGCACTGCTTCAACTTTGGAAACAGCTGTATGGGATGCTTTTAACATTGGGACATGGACACGATTTGCACTAACTGTTTTCATACCTCGCTGCTGTTCAGCCAGAGCCCATCTCCAAAATTTTAATGACTTCATATACCAAGTGTCTGCCCCTGTGGACACAGAGCTAACCCTGGTGTTACCGCTCACATGGAGCGGGAGGAAGGCCTGGTGGTGGTTGCTGGTTTACTCATCATTCACTCTGCTCAGTGATTGCTGGTGGACTGTCATGACTCAGAGCATATGACGAAAGAGCCAAGTGTAAGTGGGAGGAAGGCAAGTGTAGGAAAAGCAAGGTGGGGATAACTTCCGGGCCGGAGTGGCATTCAGAGTGTTCAATACCATTCTGACCACCACCGGCGTGCTTAAGCCCTTCAGTGCCACTGTGCAGAGTGTCACAGGCGTGGCAGCACATTTCCTGTAAGGAAATTGTGCGGTGGTGCAGCTACTGACATGCATAAATCTGTTCTTTTGAAGCACGGTTCAGGTTGTGGGTGTGGCGGCTCTTCGGACTGTAGGTAATGATTTACCGATTTTCGCAGTTGGCCTCGAGGCTGGGGTTTTCCGAGTCCACCAGCTTTGGAGTTCTGTCTGGGTCTAGCAGTGTGATGATCACTGCAGGTGCCAGCCTCTCGCTGACCCACAGTGACTGCCCTCGTCGCACAGCGTACAGTAGTAGCTCATCTTCATGTCAGATGATACTTGGGGCGCCCTCATCCTTTTCACCCATAAAATCAGGCAGGTTTATAGTTCTGCCAAAGAGGTGCCACTGGTTTGCCTGTGGACTCCGCTGCCCGAGGAACACCCCTGAGAGTCGGTCGTCTTTAGCTCCTAGATTACTGGTTCTCCTACAGAGGACAGGGAGAATTGAACATGCAAGCTTTTCTTTTAGAAATAAATTTCTTTTGCTTATACTCCTATGAAGCAGGGGTCAGCAGGCTTGCTTTCTTTAAAGGGGCCTGGCTAGTAGATATTTCAGGCCTTCCTGGCCCAGAAGCGTGCTCTCTTGGGGCGCCTCAACTCTCCTGAGGCACAGGCGCTGGTGTGGGCAATACATAAGGAAAAGGAGTGGGTGTGGGTGTGTCCCTGGAAAACAGGACTCAGAAACCCCCGCAGCTTGGCTGCGTGGTTCACCAGCCCTTCCTATCAAGGCATCGGATAGCACTGAGAGTCCGTGCACCTTGAAATGATCTTCAGGGGAAACTCCACAGACTTGTCGCCAAGAGTCTTGCCTCTGCTCTGTGTGTCCTGGTTGTGCTCTTTCTCAACTGGGCGACGCGGTGGTATTCCCTTGTAGTGGCATTCCTCGTTGGGCTGCGATTCGTGTGGTCAGTTGTTCGAAACCAGCAGCCACTGCACGGGAGAAAGGCTGGGCTTTGTACTCCGGAAACAGTTACAGTCTCAGGGACCCATAGCGGGGGGTCGCTCGGAGTCAGCCTTGCCTCGATGGCAGCGAGGTTGGGGTTTTTCCTATCGAGTGGCAGGAAAGGAAGTGCAGCAGCGAGGGAGGCAAGCCTTCGCCTTGCCTGTGCCTTCTCATGCTGCTTTCCCGTTGCTTTGCAGCGCTCCGCCGTCGCTCCCAGAGCCGGCCCCCGCCCCAACGGCCTCCGCACATTCCAGCAGCGAAGAGTCCGACAGCACCAGTGACTCCGACAGCTCCTCCGACTCGGAGAGCGAGAGCAGCGACAGCGACAGCGACGAGAACGAGCCCCCGGAGGCTCCGGCTCCGGAGGTACCGCGAGCCCCTCTGCCAAGAGTCTGCTGTGAGCCAGGCGAAGCCCCGCCCCGCAGGCATCACTCTGCCGCGCCCAGTCTGTTGATGTTCCGCTTTTGTTTACCAAATTATTTGGTCAAGGAGGTTTTGGGGAGATGGATGGCTCTCCACCCCGGGAGCAACTCATTAAGAATATCTGATGCACACCATTTTCTTTTTCCCTTCTTTTAAAAAGTGTGTGTTTGGTAGGCTGACGCTTCAATATTAATGAGAATTCTTTGGGAAATTTCAGGAATACATGCACTAAGGACATCAAAAGGAGACAGCCCGATTTAGCAGAGGGCAGGAACGTGAACTAGAAATCAAGTCGCCCGGGGTTCTATTTTTGAATGACTAAAAGCCATGCATTAAACTGATGGCTGCTGTGGGATTTTGCCAGGACTGAGTTTCATGCCCCGCCTCCCCCCTCCCCGCTGGGTAAAGTAGGGACAGGAATCATTGTATTTGCCTGTCACTCATCTTTGGGAAGTGAACTAAAACAGACTGACGCATGTCAGACAGTGAGTTTATCTGATGGCTGAGCACAAATAACTCGCAGGAACCAGCAGGGCTGTCATGTTGGGGTCATGTTGGCGACGATGTGCTGGGCAAGAGTGGCTCTGGAAGGAGTCTCACTTCTGGTGAACTGGCTCACCCCTTAATTTATTCTGCATGTCTTGAGATGGGAATGCCAGGAAACAGGCTTTCTGCTTCGGGAAAAACAGTCACGTTTTCGGTATTCATCTCTAGTGCAGACAGCAAGGCAATTCTACAAACACATTGTAGAAACCATGTCGTCAGGCTTAAGAGCCTCTGTACTGGGTTCGAGGGCAAAGGAGGCTGGTACAAGAACTGGGTATCATTGTGTGTCAGCGATAAACCTATCTTTGCCTGGCACAGAATAAATGGATAATGTTTTATGGAGCAGACAAATGGACACAGTGTAACGTGATCTGTGCATGGTGTCCCTTTCAAATTTTTGAAATGCTCTCTGCATTTCTGAGGCTTCTTGTTGGCTTGGCATGGTACTAATTGGTGTATAAATAATACTACTCGGGCCTCTCAAAAAAGAATATGGAGTGTGCTATGCTGACAAATTGTGCGATTTTGTTTACTAGATATTTACGTTGCTTTCCCTTGCTCAATAAGAAAATCTACCTGCTTGCTAGACTGTTCATATATGGAACAGAATTCAGTGAAATAATTTTCAATTCAAGTAAAATAGGAAGGGTACAGGTTTGGCTCAGTAGTCAAAACTTGCAAGAACATTTTAATTTGGCTTTGTATTCTTGAAGCCTATGCTGGTCCACAAGGTTCCTGGAGCATACTTAGAAACCTCTGAAATGTGAAACACACCTACCGATCCTGCTTTACTTTTTCACTTGCCTTCTTTAAAAGGCTTTGATTTGTGCCTATGTGTTTATGTAAAAATCTGTGCTCAATTCAGTTTGTATATATTAAGGCTCATTTTCCCCAAGAACATTTTCTCCTCATTGAGATTTTAAACCTATAATTTCTCCTCCTAACACATTGAACTACATTTCTTCCCTCTTACAAGAAATGTCTGCATTACTGTAAACCTGCACAGATGAAAAGTAATGGGAGTTCTGTGATACGCCTCAGAGACGGGTTTTATCTTTCTCAGCCTTTCCTGTGGTTGGTGGCTTGTTGGTTTTTTTTTTCATCGTGGGAAGTTTGCATCTGTGATTTCAATGTCTGGTCATGTTTTTGGAGGAACTAGGCCCAGCAGTCTCAGGAGGTAGGGAAAGTTACATGCATGCCAGTGGGCTGGTGCTGAGCTGTGCTTTCTCTTCTAGCGTCAGTCAGTAGGTGCATCTCTGCTTTTCAGAGTGCCTGCAGTCCCCAGAGGAGCCCAGGCCCTTGATTGTTGTGCAATTTCCCCTCACTTTGGGAAAAAAAACAAAACGAGTCACTCCACCCCTGCTTGTGGAGCTTTTGAATCATTGACACTGAAGTACAATTAAAATAGGAACCATATACACCTGTTCTGACTGTACCTGCATAGTGGACTGGAAGATAACTTATGGGTGGGTTTGATTCATATCTCATGTGTGGAAAAACCGTGTCTTTTTGCCACCTGACTATGAAAAAGAAGGCATGATTCCATGCTCAATTAGTAGGGATCTGCTCCCCTTCCCAATCTGTCCATTGTTCATTCCTTTGGTAGTAAACTCCCTGACCTCGATGCTTTCTCTGGAACCATTTTGTTTAACCCTCCATCAACCATATAAGGCTGGAGTCGCCGCTGCCTTCTTTTTTAGAAAAAGTACCAGAACTAGAATTCAAGCCTCTAGCCATTTAGTTCTGAGGCCTCTATTTTTTCCTTCATACACTAAGCTACTTCTCACCTTCTTTCCTTTTCTTCCCCGGCCACTTTGATAGTTGAGCTGTCGCACAGCTGAACACTTTTTGCTCAACACTCTCATTAATTCTATGGTACAATACATTAACTTTTGGCATTTTGAGAGAGTAGAGAAATAATGAGA